CCCCCCCCCCCCCCAGAATCTGTTCAGGGCTGCGATGGCTTTCAAATATTTGCTGTAATATCAGCACAACTAAACAGGACTTCAACAGCCCTGTGCTGTGTACAGTACTTTAAATTTTCCCATGAGGGTAGTTGACCTGTCATCGCTGCTAATGCGTGTATTTGTGGGTAAAGTGCAGTCTATTATGTGTGTGATGGTTTATTCCTCACTTCTCGTCCTCGTCACCCTCACTCATGCTGCTGATGGAGGCCGAGGCGCCCTTCGGGGACGAGGGCGGTGAGGTTCGGGGCATGGCCCAGCGGGATGGAGGTGACGGAGAGCGGGATGGGGAAAAGTCCCTTGGTGGGCTGCTGCTGGGTGAGCCGCGTGGAGAAAACGCCTGGATCATTCGTCCACTACGTTCCTGAAACATTTGCTTCTGGAAAAATGAAAAGGTCATATTCAAAAATGTGTCAATTTTACACAAACTACATGTTTTTCTACATACTCTACCCTATATCCTTGCTTACCCATGTCCCATCTGGACCAAAGAGCTCCAGGAAGTTCCCAATGAACTCTCGTGATTTCTCCTCCCACTTCTGAATAAGATCATGGCTCTTCTCTTCCACTCTATACACAAAGTGCTTGGACTTCTCCTCTACCGTCCGCACCTTCTCTTTCATCCTGTCCACCTGATTCTGCAGACGGTACTTCTTTTCCTGTCCAGAGTCAGATCAGCAAGCTTTTCTTTTTTATTAAATGTCAGTGTTAAATGTTATTCAAAACACATTTTACTTTATGTATGACATACTTCAAAGAAAATCAGCATTGTTCTAATGAAGAAAAAATATAAATGTGATTCTATTTACAGATCAAATTATTTTTTATCCCTTTGTTTTTGGTCTCTGTTTTTAATCTATTCTTTTTTTCAAAACTACATTTCAATTTAGGTTTGTACATACAGTTAATTAAATACATCACTTCAATTATGAGCATGTTTTATTTATGAATTAAACTTTGTTTTAATTATTTATTATTTAATTATAATTTTTTTAGTTCAGTGATGTGACCCCAAAAAGTTAATAACTCATGATATTTGCAAAAACAAAAAATACATAAAAATATTTATTATACATTTTATATATAAAAATATCTATAATATTTTCTGAATAATGGTTAAGGAAAATATGTTTTACCAGTTTACCAGGCAAGTTATTTTAGTATCTTTTATTTTCTTATTATTGTTTTTGTTAATATTTTGAATTCAATTTTTTCCCCGTTTCTTTTTTTATATGTCTATATTCTTTTTTACATTTTAATTTTAGTAATTTAACAAACTAAATGAAAAATGAGAAATGTTGTGTAGAAATAAGTTTTTATATTTTATGTTATTTCAATTAATGTTTATTTTACTTCAAGTAATACATTTTTAAAGTTCTAGTTTTAGTTTTAATGACAATAACCCTTTAGGTGAACGACTGATTTTATTTATGAAAAGAAAATGAAAATGAATTCAACAATTAAGTACATTAATGTTAGACCATGCCAGAAATATCAGATCCAATATCTTTCAGAAAATATCTGTTTGTCTGGTAACAGAACAACTAGTCAGCAAAACCAAAGCTTACATTTGAGGATCCTAGATCCTTCATTTACTTACATTAATATAACTGACGTTCAGTTCTTTAGCGGTGTAACCCCTCTGCAAGTTGCGTCTAGCGTACACGTCATAGTCTCTCACTATCCGGGTGATCAGGTCAGACGTTGAGATCCCTTCTGTCCTTTTAGTGGGCACAAACATACCTGAGACACTCATACACGTTAGATCTGGTCTGAAACACACACACATGCTCTTAAGCGAAAGCCGCTTTTCTTTACCTGCCTCCTTAATATGCTTGTACACGTCCTCAGATCCAGCAGAGGAGTATGGGATGTCGTCATGCGCCACAAAGTCGATCTAGAGAATACGAACCACAGGGTTAACCGCAGGGAATTATGGGAACGGTACTATGCTAGGATGTGACCAAATAACTGACCTTGTGTTTTTCTAAAAACTCTTGGGTCAGAGTCCAGGGCGCATCGCGCAAAACCTCATCAACGTAGCGGCAGTGTCTCAATGCCTCGTACCGTTCGTCTTCTGTCATTACGGTGAAGCCCTTGTACTTGTGAGTGAGTTCATCACTGCATACTTAACACACACATACATATTTTTATCAGTTAGAATTTAGCCTTTACAAGTATATTGCAAAGTCTGGATAAGTAAATTAAAAGCGTCTATACCTCCGACTATAAGGTAGGCGTTAGGGAACAGATTCTTAGCCTGCATCAGGGCACGAGCATGACCAGAATGAAAAAGATCGAAGATGCCATCTGCATAGATTCGCACCGGCCGGTCCACTGAGAATGGAAAATTCATGACACTTTTAGAAATCATTTACAGAAACAAAAACACGAAAAAATAGGCCACTTTATACTGTTGAAAAGTTTGGGGTCAGTCTTTTTTTTTTTTTTTTGAAGAAATTAATAATTTTTTTTACAGCAAGGACACTTGATCAAAGGTCATTTAGAATATTACAAAAGATTCTATTTCAACTAAATGCTGTTCTTTCAGTTTTCACAAAAATATTAAGTAACACAACTGTCAAAATTGATAATAAATTATTCTTGAGCAGTAAATCAGCATATTAGAATGATTTCTGAAGGATCATGTGACACTGAAGACTGGAGTAATTATGCTGAAAATTCAGCTTTGCCATCACAGGAATAAATTATGTATTAAAATAGAAAACATTTGTTTATAATTGTAATAATATTTCACAATATTACTATTTTTACTGTATTTATTATTGAATAAATGCAGCCTTGGTAAGCATAAGAGACTTTTTTTCTCAAAAATTTAAAATGCTGTTAGTCAAAATTCTGGCCAAAACATATTAATAAAGTTGGCAGCACCATTATTTTTCACTGTTCCCTTTTTCCCTCATAGTTTTAAGTTTACAAACTTAAAATAGTCTATTTTTATGTCCTTGAAGGACATCAAAAACCATTCAACCTTTCTCCTTTTGTCTCTTCTCCAGAGCTCAGTACTCATTGGCCAGCGAGAGCTTTGTGAGCAGTGACTGTGAGAAACTGGGTCGCAGAATGAACAGGGAATCCCTGAATCTAGTCTTACTGGGTCTGGTCCCAGCAGTGGACTATCCTACAAGCACTGCGTTTTCCTCTGACACTGATATGGGATCCGTTTAAGTAGCGTAACTCATCAATATTTGATGGGATTTGTGAAATGGGTCCAAACGATAAAAATAAACTTGTTCTTTACCAGAAAAGAACTTGCAAATGTTTAACATTTTACACACGTACACTTACACAGCCAGTTTATCATGTATTTTTGTCACTCTTTAGTAAATCAACTTTGGATTGTGCCAATAATTATACAGTACAATTGAACATCATGTACTCAACATGTATTGTATGTATTAATATATTGGGCAAAATATTTTACTTACAAATGTTAATATACAGCATATACCGCTCAAGCATATTGGGTCGGTTTGAAGAATAAACTGAAATACTATTAAAAGTATTAATTTCTTTAAAAAAAATACTTGCTAAGCCCCAACATTTTGAATGGTTGTGTGTATCTGGTTCGGTTTGATCCTGTTTATTTTATTGTGATTATATAAGTAATCAAGATATAATGAATGAAGTTACAAGCTTTAAAAAAAAAAGGTTACATTTAAGTTACTGTTTAAGAGCTTGAGTGCATATTTCTGTCTTGAGTGTCTTGTACTTAACGAAACGAGTATATTGAATTTTTTTAGGTTATAGCCTAACAGGAATGACCTTATTACAAAGGTCATTTTTTAACTTGGTGTTCCATTTTATGAAAACTGAACAGAGAAAGTACAGACTGACCAGGCGTTCCGAGTCGAGCTAGCTCTACCGTCAGCTTCTCATGTGGAGCCCGACACTCACAACTCGTCTCCGGGGTAAATATGGCTGGCTCTATAAGAGTCTGCAGAGAAGATTGAAGAACGCATTGATTTGAGAGAAATGATGAGATGAGAAATAAATAGACATTGCAGCTTCCCAAATAAAATACTATTTAAACAAGCCTAGATCCTGCTGACATGATATCCTATTTACCCTTCTCAAAAATGTTTTCCTTTTTGTACGAATAGAGGTTATTATCTGACGTATTGATTTCAAGACGATCTGTGTAACAGCCTCTTTACAGCGGATATTGATTTGTCCAGTAGAGGGTTCTCTAATGTCACTGACTTAAGACAAATCATTCATCCACAGCAGCACAAAGTGGGAGATAGACACAGACATACATAACACGGATATTTCGATCTATTGAAACCTCTTTGTGGCTTATAACAAACAGAGAACAATAGGCCTACAGAAACTGTGACAACTCATGGTTCTGAATTAGCATTTCAATGTATGGCAGGGTAGCAGGGATATTTTATTTTTGTGCATTTTTCCGTCTATAAGTGCAGAAAGACACTATACTCGCATTCTATATGGATGAGAATGAGGGTTTGTTATCAAAAATTTGATTTAAAGCTTAAGTCAATTTTCTGAATTTTTGAAGTGGGAAATATTCTCTTTTTAAAAACACTGTGAAGTATGTTTTATATTATTATATAATAGCTAGTACGTGTGCATAATATATAATATACACTAAATTCATGAAATAACAAAAATGTAAAAAGGTACAAAAATATCTAACATGCAAAAATATCAAACCATTGAAATGTGATTTTATTGTTCCCAACAGCTAAACTTTAAAACTTTAAAATATTCTTATTTAACAACAAGATTATGTTGAATAAAATATTTTACCACTTCAAGTTATATATCATATTACATTACCATTAATGGGTTTTTGCTTAATAGTGTCCAATTCAAATAATAATTTTATATTATATTTTGCTTAATTTAAAGAGTAAAATAATTCATTAAACAACAAAAATGAAAAAGTTAACACCCAATATCAGACCAATGAAATTGTGCTTTTACTGTGATCAAAATGAAAAATTTGTCATCATTTACTAATGTTGATCCAAACCTGTATGAATAACTTCCTTAACGTAAAAGAAGATTTTGAAGAATGTTAACCAACAGTTGCTGGTAGCCATTGACGTCCATAATATGATCAAATACTATGGAAGTCAATGGCTACCAGCAACTTTTTGATTATCAACATTCTTCAAAATATCTTCGTTTGTGTACAGCAGAAGAAAGAAACTCATACAGTTAGAAACTCATACTCATACTGTTTTAGTAAACATGTGGGCGGAGGCACCAGATGCTGTTTAAATGCATTCTGGGCCAAACACATTACAGAAATGTTAAAAAATTATTTCTGGGTTAATCTTCTAGTGACCTTTGTGACAATAGTGACCATCTGTCTGTTCAGGAAATGCCCAGTGAGAGCATCTTCACAGCAGACCCAGCTGGCACATATGCATTTACATATCCAATGCAATGTAGGTGTGTGATATCCGATTACTCATTGGAGGAAAAATCTCCACGGAGCAATGCACGATTCATTCCCATAGCAACGGAGACAGTGTTTCCAAGGATGCTGGAGACCTTTCCCAGAATTCTGTACAAGGTGAGAAGGAGGAGCAACATCACAGAAGGGCAACCTGCTGTTAAATGCAATCGGGATGGTGTCTGTAACATTAGCTCAGCACCATCCCACAAAAACGCTAGCTCTTGCACTTAAAAACGATATCTGGTAGACGCAGAGGATTAAAAGCAGCATTATGAACAAACGCGCAGATAGTCAGTACAAAACAGCAGTTTCACAAGCTCAACGTCATTCAGACAGCAGCACAAAAAGACAAAATCAGATGAACACAGACTGAAAACAAAGAGAAAGGGTTCCTCAACGGTTCATAGATGCCCTCGACGACAACAAAACACATATCTCACCGTTCGTGGCAGTGGACAGGTATGTTCCAGCTCCTCCATGATTACTGGAGGGTCCAAGCCAAACTGGATGTGACTCCACCTGTACCTGACTCAGCATCAGTCTGGAGACGCTTCTCTGGCCGTTAGCCGAGCCGCGGTCAGGGATGCTCTACTCCAGCCTGGGTCTAGATCCCGCCCACTCGGTCTTCTCTTCCTCTCTGCCTTTCCTCCTCGACTCCCCTCGCTGTGAAGCCGCCTATAGAAAGAGGCGCTCAGCTCCTCCCTGTGCCCACACACACAGAACCTCAGTGACGGCACAACAACAACAAGGAAGAGAGCCTGTTGATGAGGGCAATGGCAAGTCTGGGGAGGACCAATCAACAGACACGCTCTCCTGTCTCATTTAAATACCAGAGTGTGATTGGTTGAGCAGGCTATAGCACCATCACTGTGAACCCGCTGCTGAGCATCTCTGATTGTTCTTCATCTTCCTTCATCATTGTGGTGCATCGCAAAGGCTTGCTGAAAGAGACAACAATACAGTTTTTAAGTCTGGATAGTAACAGAATAATTTTTCTTATCTGATCTCAATTCAATGAACATTTAAATATGACAATAAGGTATAAAACTAAGGCAGGTTCTATAAGAGCTTTTTAGTATTTTTTTAACCTTACTATGGTTTGTGTTGAGACTCACTATGCCCCTGCAAACAGTTGATGGTGACGTTACTTTTTATCATCAAGGATGCTTAGCAGGATTTTAAATTGTACCCTATATAAAACAAGCAAAACAGGGACCTTAGCTGATAACACACACATATATATGCAAGAGAAAAAAAAACAAGAAAAATATAGGTAGAATACATTACATACAATATCCAACTGATACTTAATAATATTTAAAATAATCTAAATACATGTATGATAATATTATTGATATTCATAAGTAAGTTTAGTGAAATATTGAAAACATTTACTATTTACTAATTTGAAGAGTTTAGGTAAGATCATAGTTTTATATGCTGGTTCACAGTGTAATTAAAAATGTAATTTATGTATGGCTTTGTATGTTTAGGGAGCAGTGCTGACATTTAGAAGTGGTTCATAGTTTTATATGCACATTTAATTTAATTCAATTTAATTGTAAATATATTTACAATATATTAAAAACAATATCCTATTAATATATTATTTTATAATATTTAAAATAACCTAATTACATGTAAGATAATTTTATTAACATTCACTCATTAAAAAATCTGATAAAGCTTACTACAGTTCTGAACAGTTTATATTATATTCAGTTTTTTTCCCCCACTGGGATTTATTTTCGGTTTCTAAAACATTTTAAGAACAGTTCAGTTGTTATCCACTTGGTGGCGCCATTGTTTCAATTTTAGTTAATGCATTTGAACATGGCACCAAGTGGATATTTAACAAGTTAAAAAGATGCTACAGTATAAAAAAGGGTTGTAAATTAAATCTAATAAAAGCATGTTAGGAGCATTTGCAACATTTGTTAATATTTTCCCATACAACTTCCATCCATTGACTGTCTGCTGTCAGCCCCTTGGCTAATAAAGTTAACAAATCATTTTGATTTAAATTAACTTAATATTAAATGATAATGTTTTATAACAAACAGAGATGTGAGAATGGCAGCACCTTCATTCAGAATCAGTACACACAGACACAAAACTTTTCTTTGACTGCCATTTCCCTGAACCATGTCTCCATTGTTGCTTTCATTCAGTCTACTCATACAGCACAGGTAATTATGTCAGTCACAGGACAGAACAGAAGTGCTTTGAAGAGTAACCCCCAGCCTCAGAAAGGAACGGTGTGGTCCAGGAGAGCTGGCGAGAGATTTGATATCCTCTTATGTGTTTCCTGTGAGCTCCTCTCCTCATCAGCATGAAGACTGAGTCTCATTTTCCTCAGACTCGGGTATGTACTTTTGACTGCTATATCCCCGGAGATTCAGAGGGCAACAGTACTGAGAATAGCATTTCCATCGGTGTTGTGGCCATAGTTAATAGATTCTCCTCTGACGGCTTGTGAAGCAGCTGTGCTCAAGCTCAAAAAGGTTATCGGCCTGTGTCATAATCAAATAGAGAATAAACAGGAAGATCATTTACAAAGAGAAGAGACTCTCCCCTCCAAGGCGTTGAGAGGGTCTGGAAAGAAAAAAAAACATCTAATTTTTGAGCCAATTGCAATGCGACATAAGTGTGCTGATTCAAGGTTAAGGATATTCTTTTATCTCTCTTGAATACTGAGATTCTCCTGAGTATTGTTTGACGTAATCTGCTTAAGTAACATTCATTTCATTCTGGTCGCAAACATTTAAAAACAAAACTAATTAATTTTTCATTTAGACATGCTAAATAATATGCTGCAAGGAAAATGCATGCTCATACACGTCCTAATCAATCTAAATGTTAATTAGCACTGTAGCATCCTTTCTAAATGAGAACGTTAATTCAAGACACATCTTAGGAATATTACAGGCCAACTATAAGTTTTAAAAGAATATTTTAGTTAAAAGTGAATCCTTTTTTATTCTCAAGCATAAACATATACATGTATTAAGTTATTTTTTATTAATCCTTTAATTACGGTGCTCTTTCCGCAGATTACATCGTTCCGCCAATAGGTGGCGAAAAGTGAATCATTGAACCAGTCACGAAACCGATTCGTTCAAAGCATTGATTCATTCAGGAATGAAACTGGGACGCTCAACGGTCCAGTGTTGCCAAGTCCGCGGTTTTCCCGCGGAATTGGGCTACTTTAACACTATTGCCTCGGGTTGTTTTTCCATGTCTACAGGTTGATGCGACCCCAATAACGCGATATTTAGCCACTAAAATGTGAATTTTACCAGGGGAACCCCGCCACAAAATGTGTATTTTACCCCCAGAGCTTATTTTTTTTAACGGGGTCCCTCTCGAAACGCTCGCTTTGGGCGGGTTTTGTTGTGAAAACCTGGCAACCCTGCAACGGTCATTCTGCTGTGGCTTTGTTTGCAAATATTTTCGTTGGCACAGCAAAAAGAGGCGAAGCAACTCGCAGTGTTGCCAATTTAGCTACTTTGTCGCTAAACACAAAGTAAACCCTAGATTTAGCGACTTCCCCGCCCCTTTAGAGACTTTTTTCAAAAGTTTAGGGACAAATATAGCAACTTCTTGGACAAACCTCATCTAAGTTCTCATCTTGCCCACTGATCTACGTTCATCTTTATATTGAAAGCAGTTGGCAACACTGAGCAACTGTCGATATTGTATCTAAAATATAAGTATCCCAATTTCAACAATAAACGGTTATATAAAATAACACTCACCTCTGGTGGTCACATAATGGAAATGAGTGAGTTGCGCCGACTCCCAGAGTCAACCGTGGTGTTCATGACCAGCAAAAAATATTTTTCAAGTTCATTTGTATTTGCATCATTTTTACATCGGGGTCCAGGTCACAGTGTTTTATTTGTGGATCTAATTCTATTTATTCGTCAATATGTTTAATTTTTGTTCATCTCTTTACATTTATTTGTGGATCATAATCTATTTATTTGGAATAAAGCAACAATTCTACCCCCATATTCCTCCTCGGCTTTTCACCGTCGTCTCTCCTCAGTCCTCACCGGCTGTATGCAAAATCATGCACGTGTCCCTCGTTGTTCGATTCACGAACAAATGACTCTTATGAACAGAGGTGTCACTATACCCGTTTTATTGAGGCACGAGCCCCGGTAAAAAATATTTTTGATAAATATTTGTCTAATATTGGAGATTACCGATACACTGATGAATGTCTACAAACGCTCCTGCTTATGAGTCGGTTCTCTTAATGAATCGTTCAAAAGACTCACCAATGATTTTAGCGGTTTGAATCAGATTAGTTGTTCACTTAAGGCCTATGTATCAACATATGACTCATTTACTGAACTGTCTGCAAGTTATTATTAATATTTATTCTCTGTTGCCATTATCTATGGTTAACTAGTTTGTTGGTATGTGGGGAACACTTTACAATAAGGTTCCATTAGTTAACTACATTAGCATGAACTTGCAATGAAAAATAATTCTAAAATGTTTAATAATCTTATAGTTAATGATAATGAACAGTTATATAAGTTAATATTATTTATTTATTAGACCTGAGCTAACATTAACTAACAATGAACTCTTGTATTTTAATTAACTTACATTAGGCCTACAAATGATAAAAAAATATTGTTCGCTGTTAGTTCATATTAATGCATTAATTAACATCAGCTACCCCACAGGGACTGTATTGTAAAGTGTTACCAAAATATGTATACATTAATGCATTTAAAGGACGTCAATGGAGCAGTCATACAATGCTTACTCTTCTATTCTGTGCCAACTTTTATTTTTTTCCCCCCTTAAACTGATGTACAAGTTGATATAGTTTTTTGTGGTAATCAAAAACATGCCACATATGCTGTTTCTAAAGCTTAACTTGTAATTGTATTCCTTTAATTTCTTCTTTTTTAACAATGCGGTTATATGGGAGGCCATTGCAGGAAAAATCAGGAGAAAGCTGATGTCAGAGCATTATGATGTGAATTCATGCTGACATGCTTGTCAACAATAGAGTACCTTGATTCCCATTGTTTTGTCAGACCTATGTATAGCAATTCAGGCAATATATATTTAGAGAGCGATAAAGCTTAAGCCATGGAATCCAAGGGCTGTGTCAGTTTGCAGAGCTCTGCGGGGAAGTGCGCAAAGGACAATTGATATTGTTACAGATCACAGCTAGCTGCAATAAATTCATTAACATGCCCAATATAGAGCCTTTGAAATAAAACTCATGTCACAGCACGAGCAATTTCCTGACTATAAGGGCCTAATCATACATGCTCCGCGTGAATATGTAGCTTAATTATGACTGACATCTGGCTTGTGTGGTTAAGCATTATCATGTGATAAAACAACAACCAAAGCATCACATGCCATTTGTTTGATGAGAACCCCAAAGCTGAACAGCATCTATCTAATTGTTTACTATAGATAGCTTACAGGTATGTGAAGAATCTTGTTA